TTTCCCTCTCTTTCAGATGAGCGCACATGTCCTATGGCAAATTAAAAATTAATAATAAATAAAATAATTCTAAAAAATATGAAGGGTGTATAAAACTTTTATGGAAACTACATGTTATGTTCAAGGTCCTACGTAAGGCCCCTGGAGAAGTGTCAGGTGAGAGGTGAGGATGCTGCTTCTTGAGGGGCCCCAGTACAGCAAGGTGTGACTGAGGACTGGGGCAGTGCGATGGGCTGGGGGTGGTAAAAGAGGGTGGTGGGAGGTGAGAGTGGAAAGGCAGGGAGGCAGGTCCCCACAGGGTGCCACAGGTAAAGTGTCAGGGCCCATGGGCCAAGTTCTAGAAGCAGCCAGTGTTGCCATTGCCATGAGCTCAGCCTCCCAATCAGTGGGAGAGGGAACTGAATCTCGGGGCGTCCATGGGACAACCTGTCCTCATCCCTTCTTTGTGCTCTGAGTTTCTGGGCCCCTCATGGGCGCAGCACCCCAGGGCAGGACAGAGGACAGGGCCCGGGGCCTTCACTGAACCCCTCTGAGACGCCTGGCTCCTTTCAGGTTGTGAGCAGGGGCCAGGCTTCAGAGTGTACTCTGGTTGTTTGCCTCCCGTGGTACCTAGTCACCCTGCAGGAATTTACCAGAAGCATTTCTCTCTGCCTACAATGCTGCTGTAGCACTCTGAATGAAGGGACACGCAATGCCCAGTCAGGTCAGTGTGCGGGCTGAGTGTCGGAAACCCTGAAGGTCAGGGAGAGCAGGAAAGGACTGGCCCTCCCACCATGGCGCCCTCCCACGTGCCTCGTCATAATACTGGGATTATGGAAATCAGTCCTGGAGTGCACTTTGAGGATTTGTGACCCCAACAACTATCAGACATGCTGAGGCCTGCGTCCCTTTCCTCAGCACCCAGGTCAGGAGGTGGGGGTTTCAGTGGGAACTCAGAGGACATAGGACATGAACTGTCCTGTACAAAATCTGGACTCTGGACCCTTCCAGATGCATGGACTCCTACTTGCCAAGGGGACTGCTCTGCCTGCTGCCTCCCTCCCACCTCCAGCCTCAGCAGAGATTTCTGGGTGACTCAGGGTGAGCTGGAAAACTTGCCTTTGTTCAGCCCTTGTGGCTGGAAACCTGCTTTGGCAAAAAGTGCTGGCCCCTAGTCTGATGTAGAGAGTGTTAGGCTCTTAGGAGAGGAGAGGAGCCTCTGGCCCTTCAGGGATGAGGCCTGAGACTCAGGCTGGGAGGGAGGAGGCTTAGGAGAGGGAACGGTGTGCTGCTCTTCACACAGCCCTTGCAAAGTTTCACCAGGCTGCATGAAGGCTTCACGCACGCTTGCCTGGCTGGAGTTTCCCTCCGTACTCAGAAGAGCTCTGCCAGGAAAACAGCATGGCTTTTCTGAGCTTTGTCCTGAGATACCACTGCATCCTGTACCCCACTTCCCCCCACAAGTTCTCAGAAACCTGCCTGGTGTACAGAGCATTCTTCAGCTCTTGCGTGAGTGCAATTTAGCTTGCAGTGCCCCCTGTCCTTTTCAGACTCCAACCTGGATGTGCCAAGGGGCTTCTAACTCCTCTCCCAGTTCATTTGACCCCTGGCTTCCATCAAGAAGGATTTGGGGCAGTTTTTCTGAGTTTAGTCTGCAAGGCAGGGACAAGGACAAGCAGGTTAATTTAGATCCCTGTGCAGGAGGAATGGGGCTCAAGCCCGGTGGCTTTGCAAATCCCCCAAACTTCAGCCTGACTGTGCCCCTAGGTGGCAGGGGTCTGCATGCAGGGTGGGGGGGTGTGCACTGCCTTTGCAGACACTGTGGGCAGGTCTTTGGGCCAGCAAGGCCAGTCAGTGGAAGGCACTTGCCCAGACTGAGAATAAAGTGTGTCCTGTTTCTGGGGGAGGGGAAGAGGGGCCAATGGTCCGTGGCAAATATTTGGTAGCTGCTTTTGCCAAGGGCTCCCTTCCTGGCCAAGAGCATATTGATGGGGGACACAGCGGTGCTAGCCGCAAGTGGTTAATTGGGAAGGCCGAGGAGCAAGGAAACTCAGTGTTCTCTCACTCTGCCCCAGTTTTTAAAACTTTCCCCACATCCCCACCATGCCGGCCTAGGCCGTGAGGCCGGTTAACCCCAGCAGTGCACTTGGCGCAGGACTGCTCAGGCTGACTGCGGAGGACTGCAGCGGGTGAGGAAGAGCCAGACCCTTCTCCAAATGAAAGCCCCTGGAACCCAAAATGGGCCATCCCAGTAGACAGTCCTCCCATAGGAAGAAGGCTCTGAAAGCTGTGTCAGGATTTAAGAGAATATTTGCTTTAATCTCTCCGGTGCTGGGGTGCAGGTGGGGGGCACCTTACAGTTTGGGTGAGAGTGTTGTGAGAGATTTCAGGAGAGGTGTTGTAAGCTGGTGCTTGGGAGCCTTTAACCCTTGACAGCCCCAGCAGGCGGTGGCCCACGACGCGGAAACCCAGGCTACCCCAGTTGAATCCTAGCAAGGGTGAGCTCCGAGACGCTGTTCGGAGCACGGACAGTGACCCCCTTTCCAGACTGTCTTCCAGACTGTCGCGTCAGCGTCCTGTGCACTCGTTGGACAATTACAAAGGCTTCGCTAAGGCCTTGACAAAGGCTTAGGGAACCGTTTGTTAGCCCGCCGCGGACCCAGACTGCCCCGGCACCGGGTCAGGGGCAGCGCGCACACGCTCTCTGTGAGGAGCGAGAACTCACATAACCATCTTCTCCTCGCAGTGCGGGTACTTTGGCTTCATTTCCAGCTTCTTCACGTCGCTGTAGCGGATCTTGGGACCCTTCCGGGAGCACTTGCATTTGGACCCTGCGGGAGAGCGCGCGGGGACCGCTCAGTTGAGAGAGGGATCTCCTGCCCCTCTGCCCGCGGTGCCCACCCAGACCCGCCAGGATCCCAGGATGCCTTGCCGTTGGTGCTGGGGTTGCTCAGGACGGGACCAGACGGTGGCTAGGGGACCTCCCGGGCACTCACCGTCCACGCGCGCGGCGCACAGCGCCAGGAGCAGCAGGAGCAGCGCGGCGGTCAGGAGCCTCATGCTGGCCGAAGGGGCGCGGCGCGGGAACAGGCACGCTGGGAGGGCGCCGGCCCGTCCGTGCGGCGGCCAGAAGACGCCGCCGGCTGCGCTCTCTGGGCTGGGAGACGCCGCAGCGCTCGGCTCGCTCCGGCTGGCCCGTCGGTGGGTTCCTCGCGGCTGTCTCGCTGCGCGCTGCGCTCTGCGCTCGGCTCTGCGCTCTCTCCACAGCCTCCCTCCGCCCGCCCTGGCCTCCTTTAAATCCGCTCCTGCCCTCGCAGCAGCGAGCTCATTAATATGCAGAACCACTCGGTGACTCACTGAGATTTCTCAATGTGGTGGGGGGAGGAGACCTTCCCAGCCCGCCCGCCGCCGCCCCGGGAAGGACTGCGATCGCAGCGGCGCACACTCGGAGCCACGCGCGCACAGGCACACTCACACACTCACATCCGCTCCCTCTCCGTTCACACAACACGCTCTCCTTCACGAGCTTGCACACACTTTCCAGTGCCGCCGTTCTCGTTTGGGATGGGCCATATGGTGGAGAAGCCCTGAAGGACACTGAATTTGGATTCGCTCGGTCCCTTCTCTGGCCAGACAGGCCTACTGTTCAGAGCCACTGGGAGACCCAGGCCCGGGGCCCAGAAACTCCGAGAAGATCTGAAAGGGCTTGGGGCAGGTGCCAAGTGTGAGGCCTGCAGGCCTGGTCCCTAGGGCTTGAGCAGTCCCTGTTGGGCCAGCAGCCCTGGTGGCCAGAGCACAAGGCCAGAGCTGGACAGGGGCTTGGCACAGGTCTGCAGCAGCAAAGCTACTGCTTGCCTCTCAGCCCTAGGACTGACTCGAATATTGCATGTGCGTGTTGGAGGGAGGGTTGGTCTCTCCCAGAAGTCGGCTGCCCAAACACAGCTGTGTCTGGTGTTTCAGGAGTAGGGAGGCTCCGCTTGGTCACACTAGGCCAGGCAGAGGCCCAGCGGGGAGCTATGGCAATGGCAATGGGAACCATCTAGATGAAGGGCCTCCCTGGACCCAGACATTGGGATGTGGAGTGGTGTGGACCCAGCCTAGGCAGCATCACGACTCACCAGCAAAGTGAGTTCACAGTCGAAGTTCCCTGCATCATCGTGACGTGCAGACAGTCACAGGGCCTGTCGTAGGGCAGCTGTGATAGCTGGCATCGCTTGTATGGAGTGGTGCCCAGTGTCCAGGAAATGTTGATTACTGATCTATACACACACATGTATATACTTATACATGATATAATATTTATATGTGTGTGTGTGTGTGTGTAATCTTTTTAATTCTCTCCCCTCCCCTTCCAAATTGGAACAGCCTCAGAGAAATGAAATAATGTGCCCAAGGCCACAGAGCCAAGAAGCAGGTGCCCAGGTCAGGAGGGCCCCCAGTGTACATGGCTGCAGAGCTCAGACTCCTAACCCTGGTCCTGCCACTGCCGTGCCTGTCTCCTTACTTCCTGTGTGCACAGGGGAAGGAGCATCTCAAGCTCCTGGGGTCCCTGGGTTTGGCTCCCAGGCCAGAGCGCACCCTGAGTTAGGCAAGTGCCCAGGGGCTTCTGGGTAGGCGTAGCTTGCTGAGAGGTGGAGCGAGAGAGGAAGCTCCAGCTCGGCTGGAGAGCCTTTGCTGCCTCTAGGGGAGGCTGGTTGGGAGGAGCAAGCAGCGCTGGTGCCTGTTGTCCTCACCGCGTGGCTCTCAGCTGAACGTGGAGTGTGCGCAGAAGCATGTGAGCGACTGCTGTGAGCAGTTATTCTAATTTTTTAAAATTTAAATTTAAAAACATTTAAATGTTTTAAAATTTCGTACTACAAAGCTAGTACATGTTAGCAGTGCGTCTTTCCGAACCCTTCTCCCTTGGCTTCACATGCCTGTATTGGGTTTGCCTAGAAAAATACGTCATGACTTTTATTTTCTTTAAAATTAATTATTATTATTATTCATGTTATTTTTTAACTTGCTATAGTCATGAGAAAGAGAGAGAAAGTGAGAAAGCAAGCTGTTTGGGATTCGAACCACAGCTGGCCATGTGGAAGTCCAGCCTCAACCACCACACCACCTTCTGGCCCCGTGTCAGACTTTTCTGCCGACCAGTACCGTAATACTGTTTTAAAACCTGCTTTCTGTCCTGGTAATATATCATGAGCATTGTTTCACATGACTAGTCTTGCTTCTGCGATCTTTCTTTTAATGGCTTGCTGGAGGTCAAATAGTAGAACGGCTGAGGTTGGTGTCTGCAGTCAGTCTGCCTGGGTGTGAATCCCAGCCATCCTAGCTTGTGACTTTGGACACATGACTTCCTTTTTTTTTTTTTTTTTTAATTTGCTAGAGGATGTGTCCATTGGCCAGAGAGAGAAAGAGAGACAGAGGGAAAGTGAGAAAATACTACTGTGGGGAATGGTCACATTGCAATGGCTACCTCTCTCCCTTCTGTTGGACTTTTGGCCACATGCCTGCACACCTGTGTACCCGGTGTGTCTTTCAAGCCTCTAGGTCTTGACTCCAACCACATTGGTCTAACCACCTTACCCGCCATGCCACCGGCTGGCCCTGACTTAACTGTGTCAGGCCTTAGTTTTTCTCATCTGTAAGATAACCATGATAATGGTGCATGTACCATCAGGAGAATGAAGAGAGGTGGTACCTGTAAGCTTTTAATATGCCCCCAGCACAGAGTAAGTGTTCTACAAATGGTATTTATTGTTATTATTATTTTGAATGCAGATTATTCCATTGTACAGATGTGCCATAATTAATTTAACTCATTACTCCCTGTTGGACATTTGGATTGTTTTGTACCCAGGTATTCTTTTTAAAAAAATAATTATTCATTTAATTTTATGTATCAACATTTTTTTTTTTTAATTTGCTAAAGGGCACGTGCACTTACCAGAGAGAGACAAAGTGAGAAAGCAAGCCACCAGGTCCGGGACTTGAACTATAGTTGGCCACTTGGGAGTCTAGTGCTTTACCCACCACACCACCTGCTGGCCCCAACCACGTACTCTTACAAACAGTGCTGTGTGATAAATATTCCTCTAGCTCAGTTTTGGGGTCGCTCTTTAAAAATTGGATCAGCTCTCAGAAGCAGAAATACTGGGCCACATGACATGTACATCTGAAGGCTTTTAATACAAATTGTCAAATTGCCCTCCCAAGACTACAGCATGTCTTAGCTACAGCATGGAAAATATTATTTTTATTAACAAAATTTTATTTCTAAATATCTGTCTTAAGAATATGCTGATGACATAATGATTATGTCGCTGGACTCCCACATAATCAACCACGGTTTGAGTCCTGGACCCAGTGGTTTAAAACTCATGCCGTGTGTGTGTGTGTGTGTGTGTGTGTG